GAATAAGATTAAAATAAAAAAGAGGTGACACTTGGCTCTTCTCTCTCACTGTAAAATATTCCCTCTTCCACGGAGAGGTTGCAGCTTGTTCTTTTCATAAAACCTCTGGTTTAGCTTCCCTATAATTTCAGCCTGAGAAATTCCAGCTAAACTTTGAGGCTTAAGCAGGTCATCTGACTACGAACTGTAGGGACAGGACAAGGGAGAATGGACTCAAACTACAGGAGAGCAGGTTTAGATTGGATATTAGGAAGGAATTCTCCCCTGTGAGGGTGGGGAGGCCCTGGCACAGGTTGCCCAGAGAAGCTGTGGCTGTCCCTGGATCCCTGGAAGTGTCCAAGGCCAGGTTGGATGGGGCTTGGAGCAAGCTGGGCTGGTGGAAGGTGTCCCTGCCCATGGCAGGGGGTGGAATGAGATGATCTTTAGGGTTCCTTCCAACCCAACCCATCCTTGGATTCTGGGATTCTCTAAAACAGATGTCGCCTATTATTGCAGAGCAAATTTACAAAACAGCTCGTTTGAAGCAGTGGCTTGTGCCACCCTTATAAACCCCCCTGAACTCCAGGACTGTTCAGACTTCTCACAAGGTAAAAATCCCTCAGTTGGACTTAGCCAAAGCATTTTTTTATCTGATGGAATATTTTAAAAGTCAATCTGTTCCTTCTGTTGTCGGTGTATTTTTACTCCGATTTAAATAGATACAGAACAAAACACTTGCGGTCTGTGTTTTTAATGGTCTGTGTGTTTAAAGATCCTGCCTGGGCTCTTCTGTTCCTACCAAAGCTGCTGATGGCAGCCTAAATATCCTTTTGCAGCTTCTGGAGCCATCATAAATCTTCCTGCTAATGACCAAGCGTGTCATCCCGAGCCGTTTAAAGAATAAGGAGCAACGGCGGTGGTCGCACCCGAAACCGCGCTTTCGAGCTCCTACGTAACTTTGCACAAGGAAAACGAGCTCTGCAAAAGCTCTGATCGTGCCAGCCGGGCCTGGAGATCTCCCCTCGGAGGTTTGCTCTCCCCAGCTGAAAGCACCGTGTGTTTGGCTCCTGAGTGCACAGCGGCGTTTGGCTCCCGAGGCAGGCAGAGCCAGGGAGCCCATTTACAGCGCGTGGTCGGAACAAGGGCTAATTCATCACCGAGAATAACTTGGGACTGACACACAGAGTCAGCGCTTCTTCAGGCACAGGGGAGCCAGATAATTCTTCCAGGGCCTTAGAGCACGTTATTTTTAGCTGGAAATAACCACGGGCTGTTAAACACGAAGAGAACCTGTGAGAAGGTCTCGCTGCAGCAGCTCTGTGCTCTGTGTCCACCCACAGGGGCCCTCACGTCTGACTCCCTGTGGCCATTCCTGTGTGAGCTGCACGCACTGAAGTCACTCAGGGAAGATGAACAGGCCTTTCTAAACGGCCCCTTTTCAAAGGATTTTAGGGACAAACAAACAAAAAGGGGGTGTTTCTTGAGACAGGAGTCAGCAAAACTGCTTCAGTTTGCTCTGTGCTCTCCATGGTGGTGTCCACATACAGCTCTGGTCTCCAAAGGGAGGAAGGAGGAAGGGATGTAGAAGGGAATGCTAAGCTGTTTTCCAAAGGATATATAGGAGGTTACTGGAATAGCCCAGGAAGAACCAAGGGCAGCTGGAGCCATAATAGCAGAGCTGGTACTGGAGTCCTTGTACTCAAAGGCACGCCAGAGCAGCCCTGAAAACCGTGTGGTCACCACCAGGAGAAAGACTGAGTTAAGGGCCACTCTTTCCAAGGAGATGAACCAAGACTGGCCTGGGCGAGATGGCTGAGTGCCACCGTGACTAGGAGAAGTCACAGGAACCCAAACCCACAATTCCAGGACAAACTGCAGTTAGATAAGAGATTTACCTCGAGGTGTCTCTGATCTCTTCGGAGGTGAAAATCGGCTCTGGGGCACAGAGGAGCTCAGCCACACTTGCTGTAGAATCACCCCCAGGGCATGGAGATAAGGAAGCTATTGTCACCTCAGGGTTAGGGGGGGTTAAAATAAGCCAGAGAAGGGCCTTTATAAGGGAACAAACCCAGTGCAGCAGTGTCCCTGCTCTCAGTTACAGCCCCGGGGGCTGTTCCCTGCCTTGCATTGTCCCCTGTGAGACATCACCACTTCTAAGGGTCAGTGAAAGATATGCAGGTGTTTATTCCAGGCTGTCCCTGGGTTCTTCTGCTGTGAGACCAAGCCAAAGATCCCAGTACGGGCCATTCCCTTAAAAGCTGGACTCGATGATCCTGGTGGGTCCCTTCCAACTCAGAATGCTCTGTGATTCTGGCAGGAGGCAAACCCACCTGTGCTCACCTTGACTCGGGGGGAGAAGGAGAAGGGATCAGCAGGACTTGGCCCACTGATGTGTTTGGATACAGTAGGTAGCAGGGCTTGGGTGGAGAAAAATGTTCTTTAATCAGCTTCTTTTGCTTTATCTCAATTTACTCTGTTATGCTAATACAGTGCTACTGATTAAAGACCCTAAGCTCCCCTGTAATAGTCCTGAATTACTGTCAGGATAATGAGATTTCCATTTCTAAACGTCCTGTGCCTGCCATCCAAATCACATCTGCATTCATGTGCGTGCCCAACATGAATTATTCTCCCAACATTTACATCAAACATCCTTCCTGCATCAAAAACACTCAGTTGGAAGCAGCTTTCCCCCGGTTTAGAGCTCAGCTCAGGATTATTATTATCAGCCATCAAATGGGAGGTGTTTTGGCCATTTACAGCTTGCTTTAGGATGAGGCTGCTGTGTTGACCTGAGCTTCAGATGAGCTCTTGTGATGCCACCTCCATGAATACACTCAGCTCGACCTGCTAGGCTGACCGGTGGCTCAGCGCCCTCCAGGAGCAACCCCCTGCCTTGGCCAACTCGAGGGCCTTCAGATTTAATGTAAGGTAGCCTGAAATTAGACCCAAGCTCATGTAGGAAACCTTCAATGCTGTGATCTCGGTTTTATATGGTTTATACCGTTTTGCAGTCCTCCTCAAGTAATGTATGCCAGCTCCACTTGGATTTTGGGGCTAAATCTTCAAGTTACCAACATTTGCCATCAAAATGAGGTCCTTAGGGTCAGGTTGTCTCCTCATTTCCTTTCTTTCTAAAGGCAGTATCAGATTATTTTATTTAGAGGCTGTTACAGGGAAAGCTGTACGAGCACCGAAGCTGGAATAACGTTTGATCCTTGTCCTCACATGGAAAAAACTGGTGGCCTACAGATTTCTCTGATTTTATCTATTTGTCACACTGGTAAGAGGATTTCCATCTGTTTTATGAGAATCTGGTGTTTCCCTGAAAGGTATGAGGGGCTCCAGACAGAGATTTTATTCTGTTTTAAAGGCACAGTCACAGAACAGCCAGAGCTGGAAGGGATCCACAAGGACCATCCAGTCCAACTCCTGGCCCTGCACAAACACCCCAACAATCCCACCATTCCCTGAGAGCATTGTCCTGGAGCTCTGGCAGCCTTGGCGAGCCTGTCCAGTGCCCGACCACCCTCTGGGGGTGGTTTCCACCTTTTCCTAATAACATGTCCTTAATTAATACTGCCTGCACTCAATCAGGACAACATTATCATTATTCTTATTCTTATTCTTATTCTTATTCTTATTCTTATTCTTATTCTTATTCTTATTGTTGTTGTTGTTGTTGTTGTTGTTGTTGTTGTTGTTATTATTAATATTATAAAAGGAGGTTTAATTTATAGTCCTCATTCTTATTTGAGGAATAGAGCTGGCATGGTGACACAGGACACAAATCACTAAGCAGCTTTAGGCACTGAGTTGAACGTGATAACTACTAAACCCACTTAGTAGAAGCTCATGCTGATGTTTTAGTCCCATTATCAGAGCTGCAGTCACTGGGATCAGGAATCAGTTTTTAAAAGACAGGGGTTTTTTGATTCCTTTAGGCTTGAAAGGCAACTGCTGCCCCTACAGGGAAAACTGAGAAAATCCATCTTGGGAAAGAAACCTGTGCCCTCCCCGAGTGCCAGCACCACAGGAGGACAAAATCCCCAAACCCTTTGGCAAAGGCAGTTCCCAAAATCGCGTGAGGTGAAGGACAAACACAGGGTGTGACCTGAAAAAGCCTCCAGGCTCAGACCCCAGGACTGAGCAGGAAGGAGAGCTGTTCACTGTGTGACATCTCTGTGCTCAGCACAAACCACACAGAGCTTGACCAGGAGCCTCTACGTGTCCCTTTGCTCCTGCTCCTGCTCCTTGGATGCCAGGGAGGCTTTGGAGCTCTTCTCCTTCTTCTGACTCCTGCCTGGAGAGGTAACTGAGCTTTAACAATTCCATAATTAATGTCTCTCGGGCTGCTGGACCTGCCTGAGCAGGCAGGCACCATCTGCAGGGAGGAGGAGGAGGAGGATGTGGCAATGCCGGCTTGGAGAGGGTCGGCTCCACTCCAGGCTCACCTGAGCCCTGCGTGTCTGTGGGTCTGCAAAACCCTGCTGGGGATAAACACCTGTTTTCCAGGGAAAAAGGCATGCAGACACACCCACCTTTACCTTTATTTATTTACAGTTTGTGTCAGGGGTGGGAAAAAAAAGCTTTTGGAATGAGCAGCACTGGCACGGTGGGAAAAACCAAGGGAGCTGCAGCATGTGAAGTGCAGATTCTATAGGAGCTTCCAAGCAAATCAGATCCAAACTCATACCACAGCTCTTGGCTTGTTTTCCCCTTGGAATCGTTTTTTTTCTTCCTTCTTTTACCACACCTCTTTTTCATTTTACCCCCTTCTTAAGTGGGGAGATGGATTTTGCCCTCCCTCTGTTCAGAGCTTCTCCTTTTACTTCCAGCTTTGACACATTTCCCCCCCAAAGACACGTGCTATTTTAATCAGGAGCAATCAGCCATGAAAACCGGATTAATTAAAGAAATGAGTTTATGCATTTTCCTGGTGATGTGAAACGGACAGGAGGAAAACTCAACAACCTTGCATTTATAATGCTGTTTTTCTGCAACAGATCACCGGCTAATACTGCTGATCTGAGAGGATGACGTCACCTCCCCATTAATCACTGCCTGAATAGCAAAGTAGCTGAATCGGAATCTCCTCCATCCATTGATCCATTCACATGTACATTGATTCTGATCAACTGATTTAATCGAACCCCCCAGCTGAGCAAGGTGGGTCATCCCCTACAGCCTCCAAAGGGCACCTCCCTCCTGCAGTAAGTCCCCAAAACGACATTTATAAAATCCTGGAATCATTTGGGTCGGAAGGGACCTTAAAGCCCATTCAGTGACACCCCCTGCCACGAGCAGGGACACCTTCCACTATCCCAGGCTGCTCCAAGCCCCGTCCAACCTGGCCTTGATGCATCTCCCCCACCCTCAGGCGCTCGGGGGCTGGTGGTAGCTGGGCAGGAAAGGTTGTTTTCAGGGAGAGAAGTGGCTCAGCAGGATTAAGCCCAGGCAGCAGCCCAGGACAGCTATTTCTAAAGCCTCTTGGATGGCCCTTTGTCATTCCCAACCGAGAGGTCAGGCTCCCTGGGAATCAATTTGCACACACTTCAGGTTCATATTATTTGCCGGAAAATGCCCATACCAGGGGGAACAACCCCGGCAAGGGGGGGATTTATTGTACCATTAGCCCGGGGGGAGCGTCAGCAACATTAATCCTATTAGAGCATTAGTAAGATGGGATGGCAGGAAACGACAGTCAGAGGGAAAACAGATCCCTGCCGAAAAGCAGGAACCCCCGCTAGGAACATCCGTGTCGGGATGGCATCGCACAGGGGGAGCAAGTGGAAAGATAAATGGGGATTGGGATTGTCACTCCCCCGAAGGCTCCACTGCCCCCAGCCTTTTGTGGCTGTGTGGGTGATCAGCACCTGCAAGGCAAGCTGAGCTGGCCCAATTCCCTACTCCTAAACCCTTCCTGGTGCAACCAGCCTGGTCAACTGGGGAAAAACCAGAACCGAGCTGGTGTATATTAAACCTACTCAGAAGTAAATAAATCCCTCTTCAGGCAGGAGAGAACCAAACCTCCTCTTCCTGCACGATTGGCTCAGCACTGCCCACAGAAGTTGGGTGACCCAACTGGGCATCTTCATTTCTCACTCATTTCCATGATGCCTTCCAGGACATGCCGAGCAAAGAGTGGGAAAATAGTGGCCAATACCACGCTCAGACTCTTGGTTTCCTATTCAGATGGAAAAGACACATTTATATTTAGCCCATGAGTGCTGTGCTCAGATGTGAAAAAACACATTGAAAATGTTTTGCCTGGAAGAAAAGTCCAGTGCAGTCTTCTCCAAAGAGGACTCTTCCACCTGCATTTCCCTTCCCAACTACTAAGCAGTTTGCACAGGGTGAAAGCTGTGCCTGGATCCTGAGGTCAAACAAAACCCGTCCCCTTTTCATCAGCCCTGATGAAAGATGTGATGAGCTGCAGGTCATGGCAGATCTCAAAATAATAACTTTCCCACTGGCTCTAAACTTGAGTTTTATTACAGAGCATTTTCCCTCAGAATGGCTCAACTGCCCTTTCAGAAGGTGCCGGATTTGACAGCTCCTTACAGAGAGCCATTGTGTTTCAAATGTTCCAGTGCATAATTTACTGTTTATTCAAGCTTGATTCTTAATTTTGCTTAGGTAATGTCTGCAATCACTTGTTGATCAGGATAAGTCTTGAGGTTTTTTTTTCCGAGTTTTTTTTTTATGTTTACATGCCAAGATCAGCAAAAACTGCCTCTTGCTCGGCATTACTGGAACACACTGGTACATCCAGTCCCTCCCATGTGTGTTTTCATCCTCCAATGCCTGGGAGAGGGGTAGCTGCATGTGTAGCTCTGTTATCTCCGGGATCTGCTGGCGAAGAACCACGTTGGTGAGATAGCGAGTGAAATAGGGGAAAACTTTTCATCAAACCTCGCAGATCTTCCCACGCTGGGGAAGGGCCCTGCAGGGAACCAGGCTCAGGAATCCCTCTGTGGGCACCACAAAATGATTGAGACCTTTTTGCAGGGGAAAAAAACCCACTGTTTTTTGTCTGGTTGGTTGGTTTTGTTTGTTTGTTTGTTTTTGTTTTTGTGTTAGAGGTCACAATTTGTGAATGCAAAGTTTGAAATAGGCTGTAAGGAAGGACAGTTGTGCCTCTTTCTACCTGGAGATGGTGACCCTCAGAGGTGGCTCCCAAGCTAAACTGCCCTGTGATTTTATGTTAACTAGAATTTTATTAATAACAGCTGACTTCTCGCATCTCCAGGGCTATTGATGTTGTGATGAAAAAAGGTGAACAAAAGCATCTGCAAAGTGAAATTAAGGCAGGTATTAGAGTTTGCTCCAACACTGGACACTCTGGACTCATGGCTCTCAGGGCAGGATGCACTTTCCCCAACCCCAGATCCCAAGGGAATGGCTTCTTGTGCCAGCGTGGAGCATGCCTCACCTCCTGAAGGAGGAGGCCCAGGGTCACAGGGTCACAGAATAAATTGAATGATTTGGGTTGGAAGACATTAAAGCCCATCTTGTTCCACCCCTTGCCATGGGCAGGGACACCTTCCACTAGCCCAGGTTGCTCCAAGCCCCGTCCAACCTGGCCTTGGACACTTCCAGGGATCCAGGGGCAGCCACAGCTCCTCTGGGCAACCTGTGCCAGGGCCTGCCCACCCTCACAGGAAAGAGGTTCCTCCTAATATCCAACCTGAACCTACTCTCTTTTAGTTTGAATCCATTCCCCCTTGTCCTGTCACTGCATGCTCTTGTGAAAAGTCCCTCTCCATCTTTCTTGTAGGCTCCCGTCAGGTACTGGAAGGATACCTGTCGGATTTAGGACGTGAACTCCTCATACCCTGCTATGCCACAGCTGCTCTGATTAAGTCATGCTGATACTGGAATTTAATGTTTTAGGGGAGCTACTTATGCTCAGAAAGGTTCAGGGTGCCTTCTTTGAGGACACACCTGCGTTATAGTCGATAGACCAGAGATGATAATTTTAGAAATGTAATAGAAATTTATTGAAGGCAGGTAAGCTGGGCGACCGGAGGAAAACTTTTGTTCCACCAACGGTCTGCAACGTGGTGAGCCAACACCCCACTTTTTATACCCCACCTTTATCTCCACCCTTTAAGCCTCTTTTGATTTCTTTATTGGGTTCCATTTCGTGGGCTCCCCCGATATTGGTCCTTGTTTTCGCGGGTTCCATCTCGCCACCTGGGTTCAGCCAATGATTTAGTTAGACCATAGTCCTCAGAGTCTGCTGTCTAGAAGCTTCCAGATGGGGGGGGGGGCAAGTCATTTCCTTTGGTTTTTGCTGTTTCATTCTATTTTCTTTCTCTATAAGCATGCTTAGGACAAACACTTGTAAAATAACAAGACACAACATACAAATTCTTAACAGTCATGTAGTTAACCATCTAACAATTACAACACTGTGGTTTCCCTTATTGTGACTGTCTAATTCGTAACTCCTCCAAAGTTCTTGCTAGGTTTATTGCAACCCATTTTATTAAACTTAATTTGATGATCAAATTATGCCTTTTGCTCCTTATTACCTATTACACCTGAGTGTCCAGTTCTGGGCCCTCATGGCGAGAGAGCTGTGCCAGGGGAGGGTCAGGTTGGACATCAGGAAGAATTTCTTCATGGAAAGGGCGGTCAGGCCTTGGCAGGGGCTGCCCAGGGAGGTTTGGAGTGCCCAGCCCTGGAGGTGTCCAAGGCAGGCCTGGCCGTGGCACTCAGTGCTCTGGGCTGGGGGACAAGGTGGGCATCGGGCACAGGGGGGGCTCCACGGGCTGGCAGATCTCATTCTGTGATGCTGTCAAACAGTGGTTTTCACAGCGAGGAGCGGCCTTTCCCTGGGTGCCCCAGGCTGCAAGGAGCAGCGCGGGGAGGGGGGTGTGTGTGTAAATCCCTTGGGAACGCGATTTTTTGGGGGGGCAGCGCTGGCCGCCAGGGACGGACGGGACACAAGATGGCGGCGGGGATGACACGGCGGTCACGTGGCGCGCGGAGCCGCCCGCCCCGCCCGCGGCCGCCGCACGGGACACGGGGCACGGGATACGGGATACGGGATACGGGATACGGGATACAGGGCACGGGACACGGGACACGGGACACGGGGCTGGAGCCGCCCGCACGGCGGCCGCACCGACCCGCACCGAGCCGCGGCTCCGCACGGTGAGTGAGCAGCCAGGCAGCGGCCTCAGCCCGAGCGCGGGGCCGGCGGAGCGGCCGGCGCAGGCCCGGGGGTGGCGGCGGGATGGGGCAGCGGGGACAGCGGGGACAGCGGGGACAGCGGGCACGGGCCGCTGCCCGAGGGCAGGACGTGTACTGTGGGGATCCAGCCCCGCAGCCCCGCGGCGGCCCCCGCAGCCCCGGGGAGAGCGAGGGGAGCTCCGGCCCCCGCAGCACCGGGGGCTCCGGCGGGGCTCCGAGCCGCTCGGCGGGGCTGACCGAGCTGTGGCCCCCGCGGCACGGGGGGATCTGGGCCCCTGGGCCTCCGCGGGGACTGAGAGGCTGCGATCTGCTCAGCCCTGGGGGGCTCTGGGACCCCCAGCTCCGGCGCTGCAGCCGATCCCGGGGGATGTCTGGGACCCCCAGCTCCGGCGCTGCAGCCCATCCCGGGGGAGGTCAGGGCTCCTCAGCTTGGGGGTCTGCAGCGCCCTCAGCCCCGGTACCCAGGAGGGGCTCTGGTCCTCTCAGCCCCGGTGCCTGGTTGGGTCTGTCCCCTCCTTCCCACGGTGCTGGAGGGAGAGGTCTGGTTCTCCCTGCTCCATAGGCTCTGGGGGGACATGGGGTTCGCTCAGGTGGCAGTGTGGGGGTGGCCCAGCCCCCTCATCCCGGTGTTTCTGGTCCCCTCATCCTGGGGGCCCATGGGACCCCCCTGCTCAGCCCAGGGGCTCCAGCCCCTGTGCTCGCTGGGGTGCGAGGGCGGGATGCTCCCTGCTCCAAAAGAGGCTGGAAGCATCCGCTGGAGCCGGGAGCAGATCCATCCCATCCCTACGCCTTCGAGGGTCACGGAGGCAACACTCGAGCTGAGGTTTGTGGGATGGCAGTGGGGACACGCTTGGGGACCAAGGGGCTGGGAGGCAGAACGGGGGTGAGAAGGAGAGACCTCGCCGTCACGGGCACCCTGGCAGGCAGGTGTGCTCCCTGTTTGCTCGTGGAATGGCTTTGCCGATTGCCTGGCTGCAGTATTTGGATTTTTCAGGGTGTATAACGCATGTGGCTGTCTCTGCACCGTGTTCCTCCTGGAGGCCCTGTTTTGATCAAGGCTCCTAATTTATTCTGTCTTGTGTGAAAACCTCATTAAAGAGTGCCTCGGTGCCTCCAGGCGCCGTAAGTACGCGAAGCAAGGATGGAAGGAGAGAGAAAAAGAGTATTATTTGTAAAAAAGAAAAAAAAAAAAAAAAAGGGAGCTCTGCCACACTGACATGGTGCTGCTGGAGCTTGCTGATGCAGGCAGTGCCTCTGGAAGCAGAGCAGCAGCGGGATGTGGGTGAACGTCCTCGTGTCGCTCGGGTTGGTGGCAGCGTCGTGGTGTGGCGGCACGTTTAGTAGCGGTTCCTTCAGACTCCGTTCTCCTGCTTCAGGTCCACGTGGATGGAAGTGGTTTCTGTTGGATTTCATGCCCGCCTGTGAACCGGTACAAAGTGCAGACGTGACACCTGTAAGCTGAAATCAGTTAGCAGTGCTGCTGTGGGTCTTGGTGGATTTGGGCTTGGCTGTGTTGGTTTTTTTGGGGGGGAGCGGGTATTGCATTGGAGTGGCGTTCTGGTTTATTTCCAGCACTATTTTGTCGTGGTTGGAGTTGCTTCAGCTTTGTGATGTTGTTTAGAGTTTGGAAAGAGAGCGCAAATCTCCCCAGCTGGTGGCAAACAACAAATAAAGGCTACTTCTACAATATGGGTAATAAACCCTAGTTGAATCCAGGGAGGTTTTCTTGATTTTCCAAGTTTGGGCATGTGGAGCAGAGCTAAATTCAGCTCAGACACCTTTAAACTGTGTTCGTGATCTGTGCAACAAGCTGCGATTCCCGAATCGTTTATCACGTTTCTTTCGCCTGCCACAGTATCAACCTGCAGATAACATGTCTCCACATGTTAATTAGCTTTTAACGTGACGCTTACACATTCAACAAATCCAAGTAGGTGGATCGTTTTTCAGGACTTGAGGTCTTTAATGGGTATTATTTGGACTACTGGGTGTTAATGGTTAAAAGGCAGTGGTTTGTTATATACCTGCTTCTCCGTGCATCTCTTAACCCTCGCCAAGCTTGAATAGGCGCAGCTTTTAATGAAATAATTAGTGAGTTCTGCCGGAACTGAACATGTGGAGGGAGAACACACTCACGGGGGGCGATGGCGACTTACAAATTTCTTCCCTGTCTTCTGGTTGCTCAGCGTTGGTTAATTGGTGCACTAAATACGGGTGGCTTGGGACTTACTCAGATTTAGTAGCAATTTCAGCATGGCCGTAAGGAATGGCTGTGGAATTGAAGGCTTTTTAATTGGGGCAGCAGGACATCCTGAAAAAAAAAAACCACCAAACAAAAAAAACCCCCAAACCAAAAACGCTTAAAAATAATCCAGACCCTTGTTTGGGAAAAGGCCTGTTTGAGTTAAAAAATAAATCCTTATGGCACCATCAAAACCCCAAATTTGCACATGGGCTTGAGGGCTGGTTTTGTTGGATGTGGCAGGAGGTCCCTCTCTCCCAGCGTGGTTTGCAGGGACGTGTGTAGGGCAGGAAGGCTTTTTAAGGCTACTCAGCAAGGTAGGTCCAAAGTGTTCTTTGCTGAAGTAGAGCAGAGCAGCCGGATGCTATTTTAATCATAATTCAAGTGCAACACATCAAACCCAACTGCACTGCTCTGAAGTAGAGGTGGGCTTAAAATGAGCTCAAAACCCTGCGGTTTGAGAGGTTTTCTTGGAATCTCATGGTCACGAACTGAGCTCCTGCATCCCGTCAGTGTTTTCCAAGGGATTTTGGTGTGGTTGCAGGCTTTTTTTTTTTTGCTCCCAGGACACCAGCACAGAGAGGCAGCCCTTTGGAGGTCTGGTCTGTTCATGGGATTGGAAACTCCAGCTTTCAATACAGCTTGAATTCCCGAAGTGTGCAGCACACTGTGAATTATTAAATCCCGTCCTTCCCTATCCCCAAAATGCTGGGGGAAACGCCGAAGAATGAGGAAGGTGGGAAACCTACAGGCATTTTGGGATGCTTTCATCCCAAATATTTTTTTTTTATTAGTATTATTTTGGAAAATCTGCTTATCAGGGGCAGTGTTTGGTGCAGGTTACTTGGGCTTGGTTTTCATGGATCAAAAGGACATCCATCTTAATAAGCTACTTAAGTGTAACTGTGTGGTTGGGGCTTGGAGCCACCTGGGATAGTGGAAGGTGGCCCTGCCTCTGGTGGGGGTTTGGAGTGAGATGGTCTTTAAGGTCCCCTCCATCCCAAACCATTCTGAGATTCAGTGGTTTAAACATCTTTAAAATGTTTGTCTGTACTGTTTCTGGTCTTATCAATCATTTTAATGTAGTTGAGAAGCGGGGGGGGGGGGAACCCTCAAAGTACCACAGGAGCTTTGTTCTGATAGTGCTTGGCCAAGAGCTGGTAAGAGAAAGTCTAATTTTGGAGGCTACAACATGTCTCTTAAAGAAATGCAGCTTTTAAAACGTGGTCACTGCTGTTGCTGCTCTTTACAGCTCACTCATGCAAAGCAGAGAAGCAAGACTTGAGTGGAACAGAACATGTCCTGTTGACGCTCCCTTGGTGTGCTCGTGCGGGTGCTGCTCTGGTATCCAATTACACATCTGTAATCAAAGAAAAACACTAATACATCTTTATTGGGAAAGCATCTTCCCTGGGTTTTGCTTGTGCTAATTCGCTTAGATTTAAATCAGCAACAACAACAAATCTCCCCCTGACTAACCATGACTCTAAAGCTGTTTTTCTCTCTGACTTCCCAGCGTGGTCTGCTTTCTGTCTCCCTGATTTTGAAGCTCTTTGGAGGTAGCTCTTGCTTTATTTCAGTGGAATTGAGGCGAAGCTTATTTTTGAAATAAGAAGAGTTCAAGGAATCCCTGAAGTCCAGTAGCTTTGGGTTTTTCTAATGGGGGGGAAATCCGGCAGCTTTCTTCCCAAGCTGGGTGAGACACTCCTTTCTGGAGAGGAAAGCTTTTGCAGCCTCTGTTTAAGAAGGATTTTTAATAGCTGTCATCTCCTCCTGTCCACTGCAGCCTACTCCTTTAATTTCCTTGACTGAAAAAGAGCACCACAGTTTGGAGTGTTGTTACGGTCTCCCTTGCTGGCCCATTAGTGTATTAGCTTAGCTCCGTGCGTGTTGAATGCCACTAAATGTCACTTGCAAATTTAATGTTGGGAGCGCCGAGAGTCGCCGCTAATTGAATTTAAAGTCTTACACTCGAGTTTGTTCAAATGGCAGATGGGAGACAATTGAAATGTGTGAGAGCTGTCGCAAAGCTGCTCTTGCCGGCGACTCCAGCAGTGCATTTGTGTAGATGCAGGGGGAGACCCTGAGCAGACACATCGGGGTTTGGTGGTGGGGTTTTAGTGTCCCTTTCTGTATTACAGTGTGGGGACAGCTGGCAAAACCCATTATGCTGAAAGTCTTAACGCTCAAGGTCATTGTTGACACTAACGTAGCCTTAAATACTTCTGTAAAAATGGCAAAGATCAGGGAGCCTTTCAGTTCGACGTAATTCTTCTCCAGCCACAGTTTTAGGAGAAAGGCTAATTGTTTGGACTGTTGGTCTTAATTGTCTGTGGGTCTGACCTCTGGGGTTTTTATTCACGAAATTAGCATCTTTAGCACCTGGGGGTTTGGCTTTGGAGGGGTTTGGTTCGGGGTGTTTTTTGTTTGCTTGGGTTTTTTTTTTGGTTTGTTTTGGTTTGGTTCGTTTTTAGAGGACAGTCTGCACAAAAGCTCTGGCATTTAACACTTCTTTATTCTTCAACTTCAGCCAAATACCCAAGGATTGATCAGACACGGAAATAGGAGACCCTACTGCGGTGCTTTTTGAGAGGTAGAATGTTAAAGAAATTACCCTTCATTGGAAAAAGAGTCGTGGAGATTGTTCCTCGGCTTTCCAGGCGGTGTAAATCTGCACCTCCCTAGATAGCACAATGCTTTTAAGAAGTTTGTCTTGAAACACTTCCATTAAATCTCTTGATACCACGCTTTGACCTTCTGCCACCGAGCTGGCGTTTCAGACGGGCTTCTGGCATGAGCTCTCCTGCCACTTTCAAGTAAAAATTTATCAGGCATTGAAAAGTTTGACTCTGCAGCCGAGCACTGTGCCAGGCCGTAAAAGCCCTATTTGTACACAAAATGGATTTTCGCTTGCCAGGAGGGCCCGGGGAGCTCTTCGGGAACTGCGGGAATGGCTTGGAATCTGCATAGTAATGAAACGGCTCCATCTAAATCGAGCTGGAGCTCTCACAGGTCTGTGCTTTGTCTTCCTTGTTTGTGCCCCTGCGCTTCTGCGAGGAGCTTTGCATAGTCAGGTTATATTGCTCTGGAAAACTTGCTCGGGAAAGTTAATTTAGAACTGTTTGAAAGGCTCAAAAAAATGGCTCCTGCTGTTATAGGATGATGAAAAAGACCTTGAGAGCTCCTCGAGGGTGATTGCTGCAGGAATACCTGCCTGGCCATGCACGGAGTCACTCCAAGGGCCTTCAGGGCTGTGAGACAGAGAAGCTGTGGCTGCTCCATCCCTGGAAGTGTCCAAGGCCAGGTTGGAATGGGGCTTGGAGCAACCTGGGCTAGTGGAAGGTGTCCCTGCCCATGGCAGGGGGTGGAACGGGATGAGCTTTAAGGTCCTTTTCAACCCGAACCCTTCTGGGATTCTGTGATGCATCGGGGCTCCAGACCCGCTTGCTTTTAATTGGGAGTGAAATTCCAGCGCCTGTGGGTGGTTGGGGAGCTCAGGGTGAGCTCTGAGGAGTGTAATGTGCCAGTGCACTGGCTGGGAGAAGCTCGTGTTTGCCAAAAGCGGTACCCGGTAATGGGCTGGGGCTTCTCGTCTGCTCCCCATGAAACGCTGCAAAAGCCATTCTTCGCCCTAATGAGCAATTATCCCCAAATTAACAAACTCCTTGTCAGACACCGCCTTTGTTTCTGTGCTTGTGCAGTTTCCCAGTTCAGTTTTTCTCCCTTTCAAAACGTAAATAGATGGGTTATCAAAGGACGTTTTAAACACAAAAGCAGGGCCCGAGGAACCTTTTATCAGAAGGCGATAATTTGAGTTCTGATAATTTGTGCAGAGTTTTTTGGGGGAATGCTGGCAAGAAAACGAGTGCCTGTGCTGAGAAGACACAGCCCCATCTAGGCACGTGTCCTGTATCCAAGCGTTAGGATGTTTTTGGGAGGCAATGCCAGAGTCCAACCATGAATTCAGAAAGTATAAGCGGCTGTGAGAATACCTGTGGAGACAACAACCCCAGGCAAATTTGTGGTACCTCCTGCTCAGAGCAAAACGAACCTCAAAGGAACATCAGGTTTTTCGGAGTTCCCTTGGGTTTTGAAACTCTCCAAGGATGGAAATCTGTTGCTGGAAGAACCTCCTGCGGGCTTTGGGGAGACAGCCCATCCTGCAAGCCTTCCTCAGTGCCAAGGTGGGATGAGAGTGGAGGAGAGGGAAGAGCGTGAGGCACAGATAATATTTGATACAGGAGCACCAGGATCATGGGATAGAAGGCTGTTACTTGTTCTCTTCTCTGTGCCTGCCCAGCTGAGCTGACGTTTTAATGAACTGCTCCTTAAATATCTTTGCTTCTAATGGGTGCTGCTTAACTCATGGTCCATCAGGGCACGAGTGAACTGGCCCGCATCATTTATTACTGCCTAGAGGGAACTTTCCTTGGCCATTTTATCGAGTGGCTGCCAGTCTTTAAAATCCTTTTCTGATTCCTCCTGTCAGACTTCTCCTTTGCTGATACCACCCAGTGTGCCTAAGAGGTTAAAGCAGATTGTTGGCATTAACTTTGTAACCCCCCTCCCACATTACTGGTGCTCTAACGCTGCCTATTTGCAGTTGGATACGAGGAAATATTTAAAATAATTGTCCCCTCTAGAGAAATGTTTGTTGGCATCGTAGATCGGTGATTTTGTTTCTGCGTTCAGGACATCCATTTAGGTCTTCTGTGGTCAGAAAGCAGCCTGTGCACTAGAAATCCTAGGGAATTGCTGTATTTCTTCACGTGGTTCCTCCGTTGGAGCTGCGTGTTGAAATTCAGCCTGCAGGATGTGATGTCATGCTGCTAAATTAATGACCTGCGTTTATTTGCAGGTTGGGTAATAAGCCGGCCCCTTCTGCTCTGAGCCTCCAAAAAACTGTGAAGTGGAGAATGCCTTATCTGTGCTTTGCAGCACGGGTGTGATGGGGTGTGAGCTTTGCATTCGTGCAGGGAGATCCTGACACGTTTCTCTTGTGACTTGTGTCAGGGTGAAGCCTTTAAATCTTTCCTAGGTAGGGTGCTACTGCTTGTCACTGCCATGTGTTTCCAGCTGCCTTGGGCACGGTTGGACACTGTGAAATCTGTGACACCCTGGAAGTGTCCAAGGCCAGGCTGGACAGAGCTTGGAGCAAACTGGGATAGTGGAAGGTGTCCCTGCCCACGGCAGAATGAGCTTTAAGGCGCCTTCCAACCCAAACCGTTCCATGATTCTGTGCCCACTGGAGATGAACCCCTTGGTTTCCTGGAGTGAGAGAGACTGGTGTGTCACTCTGAGCTGATGGTGGTGGCACAGGGTGGTTTGTGGCAGGCAAAGGCTTCCCACCCTGAGAGCCGGGGGAGGTGTGAACGCCACAGAGCTCTGAGCTCTGATCCCAATCACTAAATCCCTGCCTTAAGGTTCAGAGGCTGCAGATTTTCCTTCCCAGGGAAACCAAAGGTTGGGGTGCCTCGGTTAAAAGGGAGCTCTCTGGGCTGATTTAATTCACAGAGCTGGTTTTCCTCCCCCCACCTTCTCTTGGTCTCCCCGTTTCCAGTGTTGAAGGGTGTTCCTTGGGGTTTTGGAGAGGTGCACTGTGGTTTACCTGGCAGAGGAAGATCTTATCAGGAGAGAAATGGGAGCACAGGGAGTGTCACTAATAACGGGCTCCTTCCAGCTCTGTGCCATGAACAAATACTCATGGCAGTATTTGCACCCCTGGAGTGGAGTAACTCCTGCAGGGGCTGTGTCAGCTGTGTCAACAAACTTTGCTTGTGACTGATGTGTTGTTGGTTTTTATTTTCATTTCCATTTAAAAACACACCGTGAGAGGCATTTGTGGGGCTGCAGAAGACGGGACTGAAGCGGGTGTTGCTTTTGTGAGCAACTCAAGGAGTTGCCGGTGGTGAATATCCAGTGCAGTGACAGGATGTGTGCAGACAGCTGGAAATGCTCAGACCTGCTCGTTTCCCAGCCCTTCCCTGAATTAGGACAGCTGGGATAGAGCCCTTTGCAGCCTCAAATGCTTGTGGGGTGTGTTCCAATGTAACGCTCCTACAACAGACTATTCCACCTTAGTGTGACTCGCTGCTGTCCAGAAGAAGAGCTCAGGTGCCACTGGGTCTCTCTGCCTGGGATTGCTGGATTTTTGGGATGCTGGAGTGCAGCGTGGATGTGTACGGCTCTTGCATCCTTTTGTCTTTGCTCTTCACGTTGCTGACAGTCACCGAAAGAGGCACCACAAACTTCAGCTGGCAGGGAGGAAAAGCCCATTTATTTCCTCCAACACTGCAGAGCGAAAAGTGAAGTGTTTGAGGAGCTGAATGTGCTGATCTTGCTGTATTTCGAGGCTTAAAAAAGGGGTGAAGAATTAAAATAAATAAAAAGAGGCATGATTTCTTAAATGGATTCTCTGGAGGCAGTATTTTCCTCTTCTGGTTTTGAGGATTTGTTGCCTTTCCAGGACTGCTCTAAAAAACGTTTCATTTTTCATAAAGCAGAAGTGAATTAACTCTGTGGACATTTATGTGAAGTGACTTGCTGGGAGCTGAATAACCTACATATTCTGTTTGGGCTGTGCTTTTCAGAAACGGAGCGTTCCGATTCAGCCTCTTAGGAGAGACAGATTGTCCTGCACGATTGTCTTGAGCAAAGCACCTTTCTGGTTTTAATTGGTGTTTTTTTATTGCTGTGATTTACACTGGCAGGGTGAGGGCAGCA